GGGGGTGTTACATAAGTACAATGACCTTTTTGAGAAATCATCCAAAGTAGAATGACAAAATCGATTTGACTTCAAAAAGCACGATGAACCAAATGGTTTTAGTGTAAAAGCACATGAACTGTGTGGAAGAAGCTTCCATCAAGTCTTCTTCCATAACACACTACATAGTGTGTGTTTGTTCATGCCCAAATTTCACATGGGTCATTTACTTCTCTTTCCTCCAGATTTTGTGTTTTTCTATCTTGCTGCTTTTCATCCCCCTTGCTAAGTACCAACCTTCAAATCACCCAAAATCCACCATAAAATGAAACAACATAAATTTCAAACAAAATTTTCATTTAGAAATCACTTTTATCTCATTAACACAATTTCACAATTCCCAAAAATATCAAATTATCAAAACACATGTTTATAAGTTGTTTAAAAAACACAATCCAGGATCCTCAAAACATTTCTCCGTCTTGTGTGTACAATCAAACCGATGCCTTCCTGTGATCCTAAGAAGTACCTGAAACACATAACACATCACATGGTAAGCACGAAGCTTAGTGAGTTCCCCCAAAATACAACACATATCTCATTAGCCTATCATGGCTATGCTCGAATAAGACCCTCTGGTCAATGTGTCTCAGTGGGAACCTCCGGCCCCACAACTCGGGTGGACCCTCTGGTCCTAACTCAATAAGCTCAGAATAATACACAACATAAATCACAAAGACATAATGCAGGATATCACAATACTCACTATAAGCACATAAGACTTTCTGGTCACACAAAGATTACCATTCTAGGTAAGCATAGTGAGAAGACTCACCTCGTAATCAAGCAAACAAACCTCGTACACTAATAAGCAATCTAGCCTCCGCCTAACACATAAAATAATTATCTCTAATTAATACTCCAATCATAACTCTAAATAAATCAATGCTATCTTCTCTCTCTAATTCTTGGGATGTGTAAAAGACCATTTTACACCTCCATGGTCTCTATAATCCCTGTCTTGACCAAACCCTACAGTTAACAGAAGTCAACACTCGAGTTAACAGTCCATGTTGACTCAACTCGCCGTGTACAGCTCATGAACTCGTCGAGTCCCTCATAACTCAGTAAATTGCGAAAACCCGGTTCTACTCACCGAGTTGCCAGCCAACTCGTCGAGTCCATGTAGCGTCCAGAAGGTCAGGGAACCCCACCTACTCGTAGAGTTGTCTCATCAACTCATCGAGTGCACTTTGAATCTAAAGACGGGTAAAAGCCTCTCAACTCGTCAAGTTGTCTCATCAACTCGGCGAGTCTAACCGACTCTTCGAGTCAGCTCATCGACTCGTCGAGTCCCTTTAGACCCTTTTCCCATTCAGAAGTTTTAAGACAAATTTACAACCCTAAAATCTACCAGCTTAGAGCGAGGGTGACGTGGCTGGCACTATTCATGCGAATTTTCTCGAAAAATGTGCCAAATCTTGTAAAATTCATAACTTTCTCATACAAGCTCCGTTTTTGACGTTCTTTATATGCACGCTTAGCTAAAATTATGATCTACAACTTTCATTTAGACTTCGTCTGCTACCTTTGACTTTAATTTTAATATTATTATTTTTAACAGACCGGTTAAGGAAAATCCGTTAAAAATTCATAACTTCTTCATCCGATGTCCGTTTTTGTTAGACTTTTTACCGTTGTACTACTAATGATGAGACCTTCAATTCTCGTTTAGGTTGTGTCGGCTAAAAATCACTCGATCTAAAATTCGAGTTTTTTTAGCTGTCTAGTGCTAAGCTGAAACTTCGAAAAATCATAACTTCCTCATACGAAGTCAGATTTTGGCGTTCTTTTTATCGAACTTCTTGGTTTAATGAATACTACAACTTTCATTTAGATTACTAAGGCTAAAGAGTAGTTTATCAAAAACTCACTTTTTACGTCATTTGGCACCGTGCCGGTTTTGTCGTAGATCTTCGATTGGTCATAACTTCTTCGTTATAACTCGGAATTTGATGAAGTTTTCGCCTAAATGTTTCTAACAATATTATCTACAACTTTCAATAATAAAATTTTACTTATTTCAAATTTTATATTTTCGCTATATTTCACTATTTAGCTTTTAATTGGAATCTCATAAGACTTCCAATATTTTATGAGTGATTCTAAACATAGTTTTACTTCATTTCTAGTAAAAACTATCTGTTAGAACTCAACATTCAAATTCACATAATATTTCATAATATTATTTACTTAAAACACGATTTCAAAACGTGTATGTTACATCATCGTACTTCACGATCGAAACATATTGATCAACATATATAGAGGTTGTGTTTCATAAGCCAGTTTCAGCTGAATACGAACAACCAGATGAAGTCATGGTTGTATTACCACCATTGATGGACAAACGACAAGCTGGATGACCACAAAAACATAACCATATCCCATCCAAAGGTGAAGGTTCGATTAAGAAAAAATACAGTCGTTACTAAAGGATCGGTCATACAAGCAGAAGCGGTGATGCTTAGTTTCTTGTAGATTCAACGAAACTTGAATCTTCAAGTAGGACAAAGTCAAGTGCCAAAAGTAGCATTAAGTATAAGAGTAGATCTAATGTTAAAACTACTAAAAAAATGTAGTCAACAATATGAAACTGTTGATCTAAAAAACTATACTGATGTCTGTACGAAATTACAATATTCTACAAAATGTTGTTCGGAAGGATAAACTTGTTTTTGGTACATGGTGATTAGGAAATTTTTTTAAAACATGCACAATAAAAAACCATTACTCAAATATCAGGATAATTTTCAACATCTATCCACAGGGCACTCTTAGTCCACCATAAAGCATCACACTCCTGCTGAGTATGATGCAACAATTCGGTGGGGGACACTGCATAAAACAATATCTAAAGGTCAATGTTATGTTATTTTCCTATAGCAACTTATAGATTATAAGGTGAACTAATCTACATACATTTCTAACATTAAAAATAAGTTCACAATCAGTAGCGTGTAAATGCCTCATCGCAGGGTATACACCGGAGGGATATCACTCGGTATATGGGAACCATCTATACAAAATTAATATGTTAACCAAGTTACCAACATTTTATAATACTTGTTTCTTAAAAACTATTATGAAACATAATCGACATACCTTAAATGCATAGACATATCAATGCACAATATATGTATATCTACTGCCAACTCTTGCCTCAGTAGGGTTCAAATGGTCCTAAATCTTATCAAAGACAGTACATAGTTGTTTGTAAGTGAAATCCCATATCACTCTCCTCCATGGGTGCATGTGTCAACAATTTCACTTAATAAGCATGTGTATCATTGATCTAATGTAAGTAAATAACTTATACTTGTTAAAGTCATCTAAATTAGACACAATTGCTAGACGATCTCTAGTAACCGACTGTCGAAGGTATTTCCCTAAAAATCGTTGTTCTAGCATATATAATAGGGAGAATCTCACCGCCCCTGCATTACCTAATTCATGAAGTAAGTCATTGAATACATGCATAAGGTTAGCGATTCTCACCAAACGTGAAGGTGGCATAAATGGAAATACATGTTATCTGAGTTGTGCAAGTTGGTAATCAAGTAGAAAGTTTTCATGTCGAAGCAAACCCAATAGTTGTGGACCTGTTATAGAAGCTCATGTAGGTTAACTAAAGGTAAAGTAGTTATTCGTTGCACATAAGACAGTGACAAAGTAGTTCTAACTGCTTTGTCTGTTATGTCATGCTACAATCAAATGAATCGTTAATTAGGCAATTTAGTATGTATATTCCAAAGGATAATTCCGGAATACACAATTCTCGATCACAATTCCGGAATACACAATTCTCGATCACATATCCAGATCCATATTCCTAAACTGTACCTCAGATTCCGGACTAGTTCTTATTATTCCGAATATGTTATATAGATTCTAAATTCGTTCCAGATGAGTCAAAATGAGGATATTTGTAATTTTTTTTTATATAGCATACATATAACTAAATGTAATCCTATAATTCCCTTTAAACCACTAAAAATCACATAAAAACAAGTAAAATCTATATAATTGCATAAATTATATCGGTGTTAACATACAATCTGTAGTAAAGACATATAATTATGAATTTAATATAAAAGTTATACTCTTCACTGCTAGAAAAAGACATTTGGGAATTACTGAGTTCGAAACAATCTCCAGAACTAAACTCCGAAACAGTATTCATATGGGGGCCACAAAACCGAATCGGATCCTATCACTACTAGAAACAAGAGTTTCAGCGACAGACCAATCCATCGGTATTCCGTTGCTAATGATTTTTTGCGACAGATCAGCAACAGACAAACTCCATAGCCAATTTAAGGATGGCTAATGTGCCAGCGAGAGTTTTTGCGATAGATTGGTTTTTACTTGCGACGATTTAGTGACAGATTATCCATCGCAAATGGTTACTTACTACACTTATTTAGGACATCTAGCGACAAAACATAGTAACATTATTCCGTCGCTGATCCGTCTCAAATCTCCATATTTTATTTTTGCAGTCCGTTGCTGATCTGTCGCAAATATATGATACCGAAATTTTGTAATCCATCGTTGATCCCTCGCAAATGTGTGATAAAAGATTTGTTTTAGTCCCTTGCTGAACTGTCGCAAATTTAATAACATAATAACATAATTTTTGATTTCTTTTTATTATCAATCTAAACATAAAATACCAAAAAAATCAAATAAATTATACAATCCCAAAACAATTAAACATTAATATTTAAATAACAAAAACATTAATAAATATACACTCCAAAACCAACAATTAACCTTGAAATACCAAAAGCATCAACCATCAAAGTTTACCAAAAAATCCTAAAACATCATATATCATAGTTTAACATTAATTGATATTTGATTTCAAAGTACCATAATTCATAATTCATAATTCATAATTCATAATTTTCCACAGCTTTCACATCTTTAATATCCATCTCCCCACATATTTCCAGTGTTCATACACAAACTACAGTTAAAACATGAATATAGGATGTTAGATCTTGTTATTAGAATTTTATGATAGGAAAAACTATAAAGTGAAATTTTATGGAAGTAGGATACTATAATAGACAAAATTAAACGATCCTTTTGGGTCATTATTTTACTAGATGCAAATCCAAATATTCTTCCATGATCCTCCTATTATAGCAAAAGTATACATGAAATAAATTATTAAAGCCAACATAAATATATTAAGAAACACAAAAATAGGATGTTATAACAGCCAACATAGTACTTCTTATACAGAAATAAATAACAAAAGAAAAGATTTATGGAATGGCACTCACATTAGACCATTGTACTTTCAAATAAAAAGTTTCTTTAATAAATAAAATGTTAGAACAAGTATAATACCAAATATTAAAAATAATTATAATAAAATACAAAAAAAATGATTTTACCCGTTTGATTGTAACCTCGCCTCGTTTTTTCTCTAAGTTGAATGAGAATGCATGAACTACAAAAGATGATCTGATGTCATCCAAATCAGGTCATCATCAAAAGTCATTCCAAGCTTGCATATAATAATAATAATAATAATAATAATAATAATAATATATTATGAGGAACAAAATCAAAACTTATAAAAGAAAATAATATATGAGTAACTGGTACCTCCACATTTCCACCAACCTATATCAAAAGTTACAAACAGTTATAAACAATTATTTTTAAGATAAATAAATTCTTAACGAATATACTGCTAGTTCAATGAGAAGAGATACAAGTCTAGATGACAATTCGGATGTTTTGTTTGGTGGATCAATTTTCTTACCACATATATAAACCTCAACCAACACAACAAAATAATAAAGATTTTATAAATTTGAAGAAACATACCAAATTTAATGTCAATGTTCCAGTTTTGTCACTGCAAATTGTAGTAGCAGATCCCATTGTCTCACAAGTAGATAGTCTTCTAATTAACCTGCAACAACAAATAATTATTATATAAATAATATACATGAATTTTTATTTAAGATTTTCAATAAAAATTACCCTTTGTCAGCCATCATTTTACGCAGAGTATTCTAACTAGTAAACCTAGATAACAATATATTAAATGCTGAAATTTTATAAAAAACTACAATTGATTTTATTTAAAGAAATATATATAAACTTATATTAATGTGACAGCCCTTCTAGCACAACAACAACAAAAGTGACCTATTGAATTTGAATTTGAAAAAAAAATAGGTTACGTACAGCAACCATGAAAATTTTAATAAACTGCATGCTTTCATCTGGATTTTTACTATGTCCAGTAAAATACCTACCAAACAAAAAAATTATAAATCATTTGAAAAAAACATTTTATATTAAAAAGGGTAAAAAAAAGGTGATTTTTGTTTTAATTACCTTGCAAGAAGAACAACAAGAACAACTACAGCCAACAGAAGCCCAACTATGCATGCCAATAAATGTTGCAACTCCATTCAAACATAGCTATCATAAGCCATAACAGACTAATGATTATTAAATTAGAATTAAATCGTTAATTTATGCAATAAAGTAGTTTTTAAGATGAATTTAACCCTAATAATTTCTGATGTAAAACCAACCTCTAATGGTGTTTCCTCGCCATTATCTTCTGAGATACTAGTCTTATGTAATCCCCATTTAGTATTTATTCCAACACTTGTGACCTGAAAACAAATACACAATTATTTTAATAACAATTATTTTGTTAAAAATCAATTAAATTAGAAAAATAATATGATACCTCTATTGCTCCAGGACCCGTTCTTTCATTAGGGACTGGTGCATTCATGTGTCCAAATCCTTCATTTCCAAGTTTTCTCTTAATCTTATATGATCAGGAACTTCCAACTTGGACCTGTTATTGATAAAAATCAAAAGCATTAATCAAAATATACATAATGAGAGATTATTTTGAAAAATTAAACTACAAAAGACCTGTATAAACACAAATGCCTTGTGTAACTAAAAGTATTCAAAACATAATTCAAAAGACTATAAATAATAATGGTTGGAACAACAAGTAGAAGAAGGAAAATGAGACTTCAATCCACGTCTACTGTTCATATACCGAAAACTTCATTTTTTGATACTCAATAACAGCCAAAAGTAATCAACTGTTAGATTAAAAAAGTCGTACACGTTTTGAAGGGAATATCAAACCAAAATCCCAAAACACCATATATAAACCAAATAAACACAAGCTTGACTTTAAACATCTAAATCCATGAAAAGCGATGTAAAAGAATCTATAAAGGTAGAACAGACAATAAAATCCATCAGATAGGATAAAATACTATTAAAATACTCAAGCATTAATTCACTAAATATTAGCAAAAATCCAATCCATGATGAAACAAGAAAATGTCTAACTCTAATCATCTAAAGTATTAGGCTATATAAATATATTATTTTGATCGATAGAATTAAGAATTCAATTGAAAGGGGATAGACTTTTACCCTTCATCACCCAAATTATATTCATAGCAATGTCCTCCAAAATTACCTCAAATTTAATCAAATTTCATCAATTGTAACTAGGACATATACCACATACGGTGGCCTAAAATTATGCATTTCATCCACAAAAGTTCAAAATTACCTCAAAGTTAATCAAATTTGTAAGAACAAGAGATTGAATGTGATTACCACCACAACTTTCTAGCAACCAACAGATCAAACAACGTTGGCAGAAAAACACGAGTCAATGAGGAGACAAACCGAGAAGAAACCACGAGGATGTTCTTTGGCGTTGCTTCAAGTAAACATCAATGAGAGGCGATGCAGGTAAGAGAGGCGAGCAGGTAGACGGTGGTGGAGGTGATTTCCAGGGCGGAGGATGGAATCGAGTTAACGCATTGCGATTTAGGGTTTTGGGAGGAAATCATGTTTAAGGCTTTTCAGACGGAATGAAGATAAAACGAGGGAAGGAATAAAGAAAAGAGCGTCGAATGAAAAAAAGAAAGTAAGAAAGGCGTGGGCTTTTCAACGATCGATTGGCGAGGCCCAAGAAAAAATCCTAATGTTTTTAACAAATCCATCGTTCATCCTTAGCTAAAAACCTTTAACTTGCGACAGATTAGCAAGCGGTTTCTTATTGCCGAAAAAGTTAGATAAATCCCTCGCTAAGCCCTCGATACCCCCTCACTAAATTTCTGAAATTAATTTAGTTGAAGGATTTATTGAAATCCATCGCTGATCCCTCGTAAAACCATAGTTAATTAGCTATAGAAGCGTTCCGTCAATAATTCCGTCGCAGAAGGTCTGGTTTCTAGTAGTGTATAACCGATACTATTTCCTAGAAATGGGTCTACAATAACCCATTCCCAACCATATAGTAATTTTTCCAAAAAAAAACTTATAATTATTATTTTTAAAATAACATTTAATAATTACTTAATTTTCCTAAAATAAAATTCGTAGAAAAGGACAGTAATCTTTATTTTGGCACGGAAGCTATTGTATTCAAACCTTAGCCAAACCTGATTTTGGCACGGTTTTCTACCTAACCATATGTACACCCTTGTACCTACTCCATCTAATTGAACACGCACGCCCCTCTCTTCTTCCATATTTAACCTATAAAATCAAACTTTTCCCCTTCACACTTCAGAAATACACACAGCACGCAGATGAACCTAATGGGCTTACTATTCATCCTCGTCCTCTTAGCTTCCTCCACCAACTTCATCGCCTACTCTCATACCATCGTCGAAACCCTACCTGGATTCCCTGGTCCTCTTCCATTCAAACTCGAAACCGGGTATATATATACGCCTCTCTCTCTCTCTCTCTCTCTCTCTCTCTCTCTCTTGATCTTCATATAAGCACACAGAGAAATATAAGATACATATGTATACACAGTCTCCGGGAAGCTTTCCGTTAATGTTTATGTATGTTTCCATTGATTCAGGTACATTGGAGTCGGAGAAGATGAAGCTGTGCAGCTGTTTTACTACTTTGTGGAGTCGGAAGGCAACCCGGAGGAGGATCCACTCATTATCTGGCTTGCCGGTGGACCTGGCTGTGGCACCCTCCGTGCTTTCTTTTTTGAAATCGGTAACTACTACTTCCCATACTACGGTTTTACCCCACATCCCCTTTTTTATATAAATATAAATAGTATTGTTAACTGTTTTATTGGTAATTGTAAAAGCATTCTCGAGGTGATGAGTAATATAATTGATAACATGTCATAAAAAAAAAAATATATAAATATAGTAGTGACAATTTACGTACGTTGACATTAAAGTATTGTAAAAATAGTTGGATCATACGTATTGCATGATACTTTTATTGACAAAAAGTTTCAAAAAGAGCATGTTTGTAAAAAACAATTCAAACTTATATATTTGTAGGTCCTTAAGGAAAACAGTTGCGTATATTTCTAAAACATATCCTCTAAACGGATAAATCTAAATCTTACAATCATGGAACATTGACCAAACGCATCATTAATATATAAAACAATAATTCAAACTGATTTAATGATTGTTATCTACCATGTAATGTCTAAATTATGTGAATAGGTTGATGTGATATAGTCGCATGTATTTTCAATATAAGCTATATATTATTGTTGGTATTATAAATTAAAAAAAAAAAAAAGTAAATGAAATTCATATGAAAGCTTTCACGGTCAATACACCACGAACACTCAAAATATAGAACATATGTTTAAATATTTAGGGATTTTTGAAATAAATTAAAGCACTCGGTACTGAATGATTTCAATATCTTCATGATTCATATAAGATGTGGTTTATTTACGTTCAATGGGTTTTAAAAAAAACCTTATGTTGAATGTCGATTGATTCTGAGATGACATATCTTATAAAAACAACCGTGAAAAGATCATTCCCTCCATTAAAACTAGCAAACGGGAAAAAATATTTATTCTAACACAAACAAACCCGGAATATGTATATATATATATATATATATATATATATATATATATATATATATATATATATATATATATATATATATATATATATATATATATATATATATAATACAAAAGTTATGTTATGTACTTTTTGCATCCTAGTATCTAGTATGAGAACAGCTTGTGCATACATTGATTTTCGCTTTCACGTTTCAACTTGCACCCACCATGGGTTTTGGACTTTAGGTCCATCATAGTATTTTTCTTTTTAGATTTGACAACTTGGGTCCTACCATTACAAAATGAAATGATGCACATCATTCTCTATTCTCTATTTTCTCTTTTTATATATATATATATATATATATATATATATATATATATATATATATATATATATATATATATATATATATATATATATATATATATATATAATAGATTACATTACTAAAAATATATAACGACAACCCCAGTTCAAGTTTCATTTTCCTTTTTTTAGTTTTTAAAATAATTTTTAGTATCAAAATACTATTTGTTTGACCACTTAAACCAATTATTTGTTTTGGAAATAATACCTATATTTTATTATATTTTATTG